CGCTCACCTTTATAGACATATTCACACAAAATGCAAACTACGACGTACATTCAACCCCTTATTGATCAAATTGCCTGGAAATTGTCGAGAACGAACGTAAATAATGCATTAATTATTCGCCACCACTTCGCACACGACGTATAATCTTTTTGACTCGATCGAGACGATCTTTTCGCCCTTTTGCTCACATTACGGATGATTAATAACCGTTCTCCCCGCCTTGGAGATTTTTGCTGAATTAAGAGGTCTGTCTACTTTGAAGACGTAAAGAAATTAATTCTTTTCTTTTCACATTCTCTTCAAGTTTCACGTCACGGCGAAAGAGTTCTGGTGAAATTCTAAAAATCAGCAATTTTTCAAAAAATAGAATAATGGTCTTTGTTCAATTTCTTCTCTATTAGAGAATACAGAGGAAATATTTGTTTAACTTTTACATAGAAAATTTAATCCCCTTTAAGATCTATCCAAGACACTTTCTAAAATTTTCACAAATAACGAATATAAATAAACAAAACCACAAGACTAATAAATACCCATTAATCACATTTAACCGTACATACCTAACATGCCTACGTATAATTGAAACATTAATAAATCACGATGTAAAGTTCGAATTTTGCATAATAATACATTTCCAAAGCACACGTTTCGGAAAATGACTCATTTTATCGTCTCGATAAATCAAAATCCTTCCTCAATGTTCTTCGACTTCTTCTTTAAGTCACCGTATATTTTCTCGCGGACAATTGCAGTGATTTAACGCCTATAAACTATGGTCATCGGACACGGGGCGATACCATGGTGTCCGTTGAAAATTTTGTGATCCGTCTTCGTTCGCTGACGCGGTTGTGACAGATTACAGCCAAGCGAATGTGCCCTGTTATAAGCGTCGTCGGCGTAGAATTATTGCTCCTCGAGATTCCGCGCGATACGATGAAGTTTATGATTGGCACGCTGATTTATTTACTTGAATATTACACCAATAATACGCCCGGTTATCGACGCGATGGCAACATCGTTCGTTGGACCAGTGTTTCTCAAACTGGGACCCTGTCCTTCGACCCCTGGGGGCCCTTGAATAAAAAATACTACTAAGTAAAATAATCTTCTGGAGGAATTTCAATAATACCAGGTTTATTTTCTTGAGTTCCCATAGTGAACAATGCACAGAACATGGTAATTGAAATTAACATTACATTATAAATATATTTTGTTTACATTACCTTTAGAAATATTCTAAAATTATTTCTGAGATCATGCAATTCTACTTAAGGAGGTTTTTTAAAAGTTGCCTTGCATCGTGGTTGTCCAAGGGAAAGTGAAAGTTTGAGAAACGCTGCGTTAGTGCCATGCTTTCAATTACGGAATATTTTCCAGTGTATTATTAGCTGTCACGAAATGAAGCTGGACATTCGCAGTCCCAGCGCGTTGATATATTTTCATCGATAATTTATAACTTTATAACAGAGTCGTGCCACCGTTGATTAATGGTCGCTTCAGCGAACGTAAACCCCGCCAGACGGAAAGGTCTCTTTGTTAGGTTAAAGCTGCAGGTTTGCATTATAATTCAGTTTCTCTTTTGTTCGTTTCTTGTTCAATCGTGCATTGTTACTGAACAAAAAATGTTCCACGGTTCAATGAGATTCATCTTCTACAAATTGCAGTCGCGTCTTGAATGAAGCTAACGGTGTGTGTAATTAACTACAGAGTTACCGTGGAGGCAGCGAGGTAATTAAAATTGAGAAATATCGGGAATAAACAATTATTTCCTTTTGGTTATCGATCGCGAGCGTTAATCCGATCGAAAGAATTTCTTGTATTTCTTTGTCGAACTTACGATAAAAAGCACTGGAGCCCATTAAATCGTTTAAGATAAACGAAATACTGCGCAAACTGGAAAGTTTCATTCTTTCGGAAATCTTATTTAGTGCTGTGTGCTCCGGTGCATTCCACGATTTATGTCAATTTCCTTCTCGTCGTTCTACGTCGTCCATGCTAAACGTAACAGAGGAAAGTTTGAAGTATATGTTTATTTGACACGAATACCGTAATTGTATTTCCTGGTAAGTCGGTGCGATCGACCGGGACGGGAATAAAAGTTCACGGACTTCCGAAAGTTCAGGCGTTGTAGAAGAGGGACCGTGACTGTAAACACGGGAATACAGGCGTCCCCGTTTCCATAATGTTCGATTTCCGGATTCTTATCAGCCCGTGGGAACTTTCGCGTATGCATAATCTGGGCCCCGATATATTTCCCGCAATCCTGTTGTGTCAAAGCCACAACCGCCGCCACCCACTTATCTTCCTACACTTGAAACTGCACATAGCGCCGCGTTGGAACAGCGTTCGATATGAAATACGAGACGAGGAAATCGTCTTTGAATTAGCATGCAGCACGGTCCCGGTAATTCGAAAGCATTTCGTAAAATGTGGTTCCAATGGTCGGGTATTTTAACCATAATTCAGAAATAATGGCTCGTGGAAGTACAATGGGAAACAAGTTTATTTGAGTGGATTTGTTTTAATTTGATCGGAATCATCTGGGTTACACTTGACTTGACTCTGTCTAGGCGTAATTGGCTATACTTCACTTGATTCTACTTGAGTTATCGTTCTCTATTCTTTGCATTCGTCTACTTACTAGCCTAAAGAAAGGAAACCCATGGAAGATACGCCAGACAAAAAAGAAGAATAAATAACAAGTACTTACAATTAATAAATAACGAGTACTTCCCTTTAATTTTAAAGCGCATTTAAAGAAAGATATACAAGAGTAAAAAAATTCAAGTTCATTCAAGCTCTTCAAGTTTTCAAAAATTCAAGTTTTTACCATATACTCGCATTTATCCACGACAAATAACTTACACACAGCTAACTCAAAAAATTAACGAGACCTTCTAATTTTAAAAATAACAAGCTTCCAGGCATTCATTTAAACGAACTTTTCTCGCCGTTCTCGTATTCTAAATATACACATTTGCAGAAATACTTTGTATATTACCAAGTCACGCTCAGTGGCGAGAGCACGCTACTGAAAATGTCCAAGTACGCGTGTACAAAGAGTTAATAACGCCACTCGAGTATCCACAAAACGATGAACACGGAGAGATAAAGCTAGGCAGGGAACGTGGAAATAAAGTCACGCGACGTCCAGACGTTATTACATTTCTCAGCAATAAAGTATCTTTCCATTGGAAACAGATTACCGGCAAAACCATTGAAGATAGATAGGATGTCGAGGCGTTGAAAGGAAAAGAAGAATAGAACCGTCGTCACATTCATTTTAACTGGCGCATTGCTTTCCGCGACAAAGAGCCCTGAATTCGACGCGCACTTCGCCGTCTATCAGCGACAAAGGATTCCCAGAAGATACCTGGGCGTCTTATCCGCGAAATTCACTCGTACAAAAGTGTGTCAAGCTCGAGTTCCTCGTCCTTACTCGGCCATTGTGTTTCTGCCCTATACCACTTGATGCGATGCCGGCTAGACAGCAAAAAGTCTCCGCGAGCTGGAAAATTATAGATCCAAGGACCGGCAAGTGCCCGGTGGGCAGAGGAACGAAGGAAAAAGGATCGGGAAACATTCGTGACATCACTGGACGTATGAGACAGGCAGGCTGTGACACGATATATGGTACATGGATGAATTTGGTTTTTTTTTTATCGGTGCTAATAATGGTTCCAAGAGTGATAAGAATTTCCACCAAGGAAGTGTTAACAAAAAAAAATCTGGCTAGAGCTGGTAAGTTTTAAAGAGATTGCAAAAATAAATACTGCTAAATTTGTTTATCGAAAATCAATGTTACTTTGGCAGTCAACGTGTTAAAGAATCTACAAAGGCTGACTAAAGCGTCTGACACAGCACGTTCCCCGACTACTTCCATTCCCGATTTATCTTTTCCCTTACAATGGTAAAACGACGACGATAAAAAGTAACTAAGAAGCGGATACGCTCCACCAGAATGATATTAAAGTAGATCTGTACGAGTGAAAGAAAAATAAAGAACGGAACGAAGTGCAGCACCGAGACAGCTTTATGTTGGCCAGCGAAGAAAATGAAAGTAGAGAAAGAGAAAACAGAACGTAACAAGAGAAGTTTTGAAGCGATCAGACCGAAAGATATTCCAAATGGAACGAGGTAAATGTTACACCGAAAGAAACTTTGAGGGGAAACGAAAAAATTGCCAGGGGATGCATTACGTCACTAGCTCTTTCGCAGTTGGATTCTGTTTACTTCTTTCATTCGTAGCTCAACGTATTTAATTACTTGCTAAATGGTTGCCACGAGCACCAGATGGGACGTTTATTCGGATTAAACGAGATATACAGTATTTGCATTACAGTCAGTGTTCACGGTAGAACGTAAAAGTCAAATTTAATAGAAATATTCTAAATTTTTTGATAATAATATTTAATATTTTTAAGAAATATATGAATTGTAGTCTGCATCCAACGGTACATTTAATTTCAATCATTCGAAAATTGAAATAAGTATATCTGAATTTATATGGAACAAGCCCTTGATGTAACAACAGATTTCTCCCTCGACATAATTACACGTATCGTTCCCATTACTGTTTATCTGTGCTTATTATGATCCAGCTTTCAACTCGTTTGGTTGATTGCTGAGCGAGCGAAAGTCGGTCAACAGACGTGCAACCAATAATGGAAATTTTAAATTCTATATTTCTCAACATATCTTTGTGGACACAGATATTATTGTTAGGTAATTTGTGAGGCTTAAGGGTAGCAACTTGAAAGTTACAAAGAAATATATTAAAATATGGCAAATGATGGAAGTATATTAAAATTGTCAAATTGTATTTTCCCTCTTCACTGAAGTACTTTCGAATCTAATATAGATAAAATGAAGACGATTTCTGAAGAAATAATTACTTAGTAGTCGAATGGGTGGCAACTTGAAAGTTACCAAAAATCGTGTTAGAAGTAGATAAATAACGAAAGTGTATTACTACGTAAGCAAGTGGAAAATGCACTCACCAGGCGTTATATTCGGGAACGGTTGGCCAGGCAAGGAAGGTGGATGCTCGTCTTCCGGCGAGCGTTCGGACGCGTAACCTTGATCCTGCGGTTCCCCGCTGGCCAGTTTGCTCAATTTAAGATCAATGCACTTGCTGAGCTGCTGCCGATGCCTGACTAGTTCGCAGTCTGGTTTGTGCACGATCTGCATCAGCAAATCGTTGTCGGCTGGGTCGGGGTTGCAGGGTTGCGAGGACGACGTGTTCGTCTCCGACCCCTTCCCGCTGCTTCGGGGGTCCTGTTTCCGTTTAGGCAACGTGCCCACCAGGTCAAGATCCGTATTTCGATGACACCTGTCTTCCAGAGACGACCCGCGTGAGCACCTTCTTGTTAAGTCGCCAGATACCGCGTCGGCGCTACGATTTCTGCTCACGGAGTCGAAATTCCCGTAGCGGCACCTAACTAGATCAAGGTCGCTCTGCTGGTATCTGCAACAATTTATGGATTATGGAAATCTCGGGGCGTGAGAACGATTCGGATTTAATTAACTCGCGAATGGTGGCACGAAACACTAAACAGAAGAGCAGCGGAGTGGGGAGAATAATTTTACTTCGGCCGGAGATGGAATATACACGATATCTAAATGCGAAGTGCGCCATTGTGTTTGGGTTACCGATGGATTTACTTATTGTTACGATCCGATGTTGATCCTTGTCGAGATACATAGCTGATGTTGCGAGCGAAGTACAGAATGTTGTTTCAGAACGTTTCAAATATTAGTTGAGAATGTAATATTGATCCGATTGAAATTATTTTGTAAAGTAAAAATTTCCATACTCACGGCTTCGATATAAGGGAAACGACACAGGCAGATGTAAATATATAAAAAAAAAGTGAACGGTGACATACCTCCAAGGATCGTTTTCATCTATAGAGTCCTGCGACCGATGCTTGACGAGGTCTAAAGCGCCAGTTGGTCCACCGTCAGAGAAGTGTACACCCAACGATCGTTTCTTATGTGGCAACGTTCCACCGAGATTCCCGGTGATAGTATCCGTCATTATGTTATTATTTTCCTTTTGGTCGTCGTCTAGAACGTCCTTGTCGTCGAGATGATTGGGCAACGAGCCACAGAATTTATATCTGTAAACGGAGCGTCATGTTCTTCGTGAATATTCAGTGGAAAATTTCGATGAACTTTGGCACGCTTTTCAAATGCATTTCGCGAGCGTTAAAGTCAGAATTATTATGGTCTTGAATTATTTAATAATTCAAGGTTTCTATGTAACGCATTCTAGGATTGCATAGAACAAAAATTTATCTTCAAGATATTGAAAATGATATTTACAAAATCAACCACCTCTTGCAGGTCGAGAATTCGCAATTCATTGTTTTCGCAATTTCCTTGAATTTGCGTTATCGAACACTATACCTGCTTCATTTTGTAGTAACCTCGTGCTCGAATCTAACGCAGTCAACCGTGACGCGCAGTTTGCGACTAATTACATACGTCGAAATCATTACCGTTCGTTCGCACGTGGAGCCATTAGTAATATTACGTTTGTCGTTGTATGTAGAAATCCACGTACAACCAACAGTTACAATTTAATGAAACGAATTATACGGGAGACGATTTAATAAGACGCGACCCACGTTTGTGTTACGTTCAACTGTAACAGTTTTCTTTGGTATCATGACGTCTATTAGCGATCTCCCGACTGCAATTTCGACCCTTATCTGTTTCATTAATTTTTCAGGTTAATGAGTTTATACTCAAAAAGCAGACAGTGTTACCCGTTGCGATTTAATTAACGGAATTAATACGTGTAACTAATTGTTATGCTAAACATTAATGGGCAAAGAGCGCTGGATTAATACGGTTTATTGTAGAACCTAGATGATTACATACATTCCACACTAAAACAAGTATATAGGTAATTTGTATAGATCTAATCAAGTGACAGATTATCAATATAATATAAAGACGCTACATTTCGTTACCATTTCGCCCCTATTCCTTCTTATGGAAAAAAAAATTACAAAATTTCAACAATTCTTGGCTGAAGGTTGCTTCCTTAAGGCTGAGTTGCACTAATTTCCATGCAGCTCTTTGCAAAAACATTGTTCAAGTGTATTTGTACACCCAACAATGGCAAACAGTCGTTAATATCTCCAAAAGCCACCGAAGGATGTTAATACAGTCGACGATCACTTGTCGGATAGCGTGGATCCGCCTTTATAAGGTAAACAACGCCACTTACGCAAACGAGATCAAGATGCGAGCATCTTTTCACCCCTCTTTCCTCCTTTTTACACACCCTTCGGTCTCTGTTACCTCTCAGCTCGCATCCGTTTTCGCGCAAACGAGGATTTAATGGAAACCGCCCCAGTTCCGCGACTGACTGACCTTAAAGGGAGTCTAAATTATCTCACGACCAACTTGTTATGCCAGGCTATGCCACGTCGTTGCTGGTTGTTTAAGCAACACCGAGCACCGGTTGGTAACGAGAAATTCTCAACGAACACGTTTAATTCCGGCTTGTGAATAGTTTCCGCTCTAATTCGGTGTCACCCTATGCCATTATTTATTGTTTGTACAATTCAATTTCAACGTTTGGATAGACTACGAAATCAACCGAAAGGGAGATCGTGTTGTTATTTGTTTGGCAGGATCTAGCAACGAATCACAGTGTTAATTGTTATTTGTTGCAAAGGGTTTCCGAAAAGGGGCTTTGGAATTTTAAAATAAGGATGGATAAACTGTATAGATTTCATAGGCTGGGTATTGTTTATTTATCAATAGTGGCATATTAATTACTGCTATTTGTGTATATATTATTAAAAATAGATTCTCTTTTGTATATGATAAAATACATTTTTTACATCGTCAACATCCGAGTATGACCATTTAGGTTGACAATTTTATGAACTAATTCTTTGTTTAATGTCAATGCAAATGTAACTCTTTGAATATTTATGTTGACGTGTATTTCATTCTCTGAGCAGAATACTGTTATATGACATAGCAGGAAATATTATTTATTTTATAATGTATTTAATACTTAATTACTTATTTAACTTAAATTTACTTTGCTGATTGCATTGAATATATAAAAATCAATTCCTTCAATTTTGGAATTAATTTTGAATTTAACGACAGCGGTCAACATGTTCAATATTCGTCATAAATAATTACTAGTTTAATTTCACATTTCTCTCATTGAAAGGAGGTGCACATGAATTAATTCTACTTTTGTTGCGAACTCCTTCGCACCCACATGACACAGTGCACACTCCAAAATTCTCCTATCAGCTCTACAGAATTAAATATGCTACAATAATGCAGCCGGATTTGATTATGCAGAGGAATTTTAGAGTCGGGACAAAAGAGAATTTCATTTGTGCGAAAGTACAGCGCCACTCGCTTTGCTTGGCTATCTTCACTGTCTCATCTTCCTGCCGGGTTTAATTACAACACGCTTCCGGTTTAGAGTTTTAGCTCTAATGTATGTAGTTCACAGCCTACTCAAAACAGACAGCCACTTGATGTCTTTGGTTTTTAGAAAACTGAAATAGGTATCAGACTTAAGGTCGTTTTAATTAGAAGTGGTTGGTTCTTAATGAGATAATTAGTACAATTAGTGTAGTATAGTATACAAGTATAAGATGAGCGAATGTGCCCACTCACATTTTAGAAATTTGATTTTCATATTTCTAACAACCTAATATTATAGAACATATTGGTTAAATTGTTTTTCAATTATTGTTGGAAATGTTTCGCAAATAATCTGTACAAGAGTACGTTAAATACCTTTCTAAATAAAAATCATATCGAGTTAAAATAAATTTTCCATATAAAAATATTTTAAGAATCAAAAAAGAATTTGTACGACGTAAGGTGAAATTTTATTTATTGTAGTTTCTTTATCAAACTAACTGTTTGTATGTAGACTTGCCCGATCGACTGTACGCACTTTATGAATTTGCAATACGCGAAACAAAAGATATTGAATTTCATTCAAATCGAACTCAACGTTTTTTTTTTTCAAAACAGCGCGAATCGAAAATGGAAACCTTTTGCAAATACCAGTAGACAGATAAAAAACCAGTTGATTGGATTGTTATAACAGGATAGAAAAGTATCCGTTTCCAGATCACTGTTACGGTTCAATAATTCACTATATTCCTACAATGTTTGAGTTTGCACATCCGCCAAATGTACTTTATGTTCCAAGAAAAATAACAGTAACACTGCTATCAAAATATAAACTCCATCGATTTAGGATTCATTTAGGTATTTATTCTAGCAAACTTCTCGTGTTCAATTCCGTATTGTATCACAATTTGTGCTACAGAAATACTCACTGTATTCCTTTGGTTTTCATCGTTATATATTAATATGTTTTCGTGATAAGATTTAATGTTCGATCAAAATTTGAACTGTGGGAATTGGAGATTTAGAAACAAAGTGTATTTAGGATATTTTTGGATAGAGCTGATGGAGATGGATTGGTCTTCACTTATTCACACTATCGAGCTTCCCTCGTGGAAGTTCATATTGGACTACAATTTAAGCTATGGGAATTGGAGGAGACTCCAGAAGATCTTCTTGGGTTAGGTCTAAGTAGACTTAATCTTCCAGTACAGGGGTACATTTACTTATGAATATTCAATCACCTATATCTAGACCCTACAGCACGGATTGAAACCAGCCTTGTTTTAATCAACTCGCTATAAGATTAAAAATAAACACTGTGCAGCTTTAGCTTATCCGTGTTTTCTTCATTTTATACTCGTTTCCTTTGAAATCAAAAAAATCCACAAAGATGCAAATCAATGAGTCGGAACAGTACTGAAAAGCTCGACTAGAAAAATATTTACAAGGTTGGAATTTTGTTGAAAGACAACGAAGTTGCGAATGTCCAGAGACAAGAAAATTAACAAAGCTGCAAACCGCGACTAGAACAATAGCAACGTTGAGATTCTCCAAGAAGACAACAAAGTTGTATTTGACGAACGCAGATGGTCAACAATGTTGCAAAACCATCAGACTGGGAAGACAACCGAGTATCTAGAGTTAGGTCCGAGAAGAGTTTAATTGCTTGCAATCTGCAAGGAATAGATTAGTCTTCATTTAATCAAACTATCAGGCTTCCCTCGTGGAAGTTCATATTGAATCACGATTCGAGCTACAAGAATTAAAGACTTAAGATTGCAGAAAAGTAGTTAAAGTCAGATCGGAAGAGTCCAAACTGTAATTTAATTACACGCAATATGCAACGAAATGGATTAGCCTTCATTTGATCAATCCATCATTCTTCCCTCGTAAAAATTCGTAAGAAACCACAGTTCGAGCAATTCAAACCGAAAGATTGCTGTTGCAAAAGACTAGATATAGTACGATCTTACCGTTCCCTCTGGGCGCTGGAGCACGGCACCAGGATCTTGCCCATGCTGTTCAGTTTTCCCTTGGGATCGCACAGGTTCCCAGAGGATTGGGTCCTGCGGCCAGTGAGGCCCTTCCCGTTGTGCCGACTCAAATTCGAGCCCATGGTAGACTGTTCGTTCTCGAGATGAGCCTCGTTCGTTCCCACGACGGCGTTCACGGCATTTCCGGGCGTGTTCTCCTTGTTCGGCCAATCGAAGTACTTGTTGATGTCCTTGGCATTGACCTTGCACGATATCGGCGGCGGGGGCGGGGCTGGCCTTGTACGTTTACCAGGTTGCTGCTGGGGACGGCAGCCTTTACGACGATTGCTCGGCGATTCGGTGCTTAACGAAAGTGTCTGCACCTTCCAGCCGTCCTGACCTCCGCTCGTGGGAGGCACTGTTACGACTTCCTCGCCTATAACAAAGATGCAATTGCGTTTTACAGTCCGCTCCTTGGCGTTCAAGGTCCGAGAGAGGCGGGGAGTCGAAGCGCGATGAAATTGCTTTCGACCGTTAGGTGTTTTAGGAAATTCTAGCGTTTAGGAAATAACTGAAGTACATTAAAGTATTCATAATTATTGTCTTTATTTATTATCATTTTCCCCAGGAGTAGGAAATCTGACAAATCTTTTCTTCTTGTTTTATTATGTAACAAACTCACGTCAAAGTGGATGGTTATACAGGCCGGTTGTGAACCGTGAAATTCTAAAAGAAATTCCAGAATTGAACCGACCAAGAACAATCCCGTGTATTCGCGTAGTACGACCGGCTGTTTGCGTCCAGAGTTAATTATTCTTTTCCCAGGCTGCCTCAGACACGGAAGGGCACGATACTGTTTCTCAGGCTGTTACAGTTCTTTTTCCCTCCTCCAAGAAATTAAGTTTAATAATATAATTTTCTTCATTCATGGCCAGGAGCACGTTTTCAATGCAAAGACCATGCCATGCCGTGCAACGGCTGTTAAACGACGACGTTACGGTTGGAAAACGGGAAAAATTATGACAATAATAATGCATGACGAATGAGACCTTTATGTAGATTTTTTTGTGTCGTACCATCAAGATTTATTGTAACACTGAAATGACCAAACTGATCGATTTGACCCCATGTATACTTTAAACTTCATCTTAAAGTCGCTCAATTATTAACAATGATTTTGTCGCTATTTTTGGGGGCACAATTATTACAGCCGGGAATATATTTCACCGATAAATTAGTTTCTTCTTCCTCCTTCTAAATTCAAAGATATGGTTATATGTTGATTTGCGAATGCAATAATCTAAAAAAAAAAAAAATTGAAAGTAAAGTTTATACTATAATATTTGCATAGTAAAATAAATTCCTCTATAGGTTCAATTTTTGTAGGTACGTTTGCAAAGATTTTATTTCGCATAGAGATCCGCAGTTTGGTTATATGTATTTGTAGTTTTACTGTTAAACACTTTATCAATTTTTAGAAATATGAAGTGTAAAAAAAAAAAAAATAGAAAGGGTTGTCAGAAAAATATATCTTCCTTTTTATTAACGAATGGTGTACAAAATCCTGTTGTACGTGTATTAGGAGTAAAAACAGTAACGCTGAGAACTTTGTGCTCCGTTCGCGAAAATGGAACAGAAGCTCATTAGAAAGTACGTCGTGTAATTAAGTCTGTAAATTAGAAACTGAATTGTGTTCGTTGCTCACTCCACGGGCTTAATCTTGGATCGAAGAAAAAAGTTAACGTCGTTCGCACGGTAGGATCTTTCTTCTGTATCAGAAATTAGGTGAACATATTACTTACGTATTAAAGTTTAATTAATCTTGTACAGTTACTGATTAGTCAGTTAATGAACTTTGTATGGATCGTACGTTCGAGTCCATTGCGTGAAACTGCGTCCTAATTAATATTGATCGATATTAATTAAAGGGAGAGAAGTGCTCGAACACGCACTATACGCTTCCAGCAAAATAATTCTGTTACCAACGGAAGCAAAACAGAAATTCCATTAAGCAACAGCAAAATTCCTCTATATCAAATCTTATAAATATTTTGTGAATATTTCATTATGATTACTTTATGAATATTCTTATGAATATTTTAATCCACTTTTTATAATACATTTCACGTTCAACACGATATGACTCGATAAACAATTTCCGCTACTTTCCTGATTAACAAAGAAGGTAATGTTGTGATGTAAGAGAGAAAACTTCGCAAGAACAACGCTTAATTAAATTGTGCTTACATCAGAGCATATTCAGTGCATCTTTTAGGAAGTTTTGTTGGGCATTAATACCTAACATTCCAAAATACGAAAGACGTATCATTATAGATCGCACGAACTACTAATATAAAAAAGTATAAAGTATGTTACGAGAAAAGAATGTGTTCAACACGAAACATTTATGAATACAATTATATTTTTATTTAAAATAGAACACACATGACAACCATTTCTATTTTACAGTTTATCATTTGGAATTAATAATAGCCGAACACCTGTGTTAATGTAACAGACATTGACGTAACTACTTGTTGTTGTTTCCTTGATTTCTTTAATTGTATAATAAACCAGTAGAACATCTCGAAATTAATGAACAGAAAAATGGCGAAATCTGGTTCAAGTTCTTTGTTAAAATGAATAGATATTTCTAACAATAATATCTTACAATAAACGTAATAGTTTATATCAGATCAAAGTTATTATTAATTCCAGTTGCATAATACATACATGTTGATTATTTGAATTCCTCCTTTTAAAATAAAGTATTTGTACAAACCTCGCTGTTTGTTACGATTGGAATAAATTTTCTGAATTGCTTCCTAGAATTGCACGTTAACTTGTAAACTTTTCGAACATGCGTAGCGAACGTTATCTAATAATAGTGTGATGACAGAAAGTAATTTATAAACTGTTGAAAGCATATGGGCACGAGAAGAAAAATAACTCGTACGGTGCGTCAGAAACCACCGTTGGATCGGTAATTGCACCTTACCAGTGCATGACTCATTTATAACACACGAGGATGCAACTACTGGACTTACACGAAACGATCCTGCGCGCTGTTTTCGAAGTGTTTTCATCTAAACTCGAGCGTAACGACCTGTCACGAATTACTACATTGTATTTGGTAAAAGTTAGCGGCTACGTGTATTTATTACAATTTTTCACATGAATTTATTATTCAACGACAATGTCTCTATATTCAACGTATATTATATTAAAAATGCAAAAAATTCATCTAGAATCTCATTTAAAAAATTTTTAATATTATTCAAGTATAGAAAATAGTAATCCAAAAAGGATTTTCATATGGAACAAAAATTTTCTGGAACAGTGACAAAAATATTTAGGATTATACATACACGAAGCAACATATTGTAAATTGTATATATAGAGATTCGCAATAATAAAAAAGATAGTTGAGTTGAAGTTACATACAATCCACACGCGATATTACGTGTGCAACGGACGTCGTAAAATCCCACATAAGCAAGATGAATTACTGCAAATGATCGATCGTACAACGCGTGTCGTAACGCGCCAGTGTTATCGACTTTTGCGATTGTTACATATTCGCGTTCGCGCGAGACCGTTATTAAATTATAACTGGTTCCTTCCGAGCCCGTTGTTATCTACGAGCTAATTATGCGCTATTCGTTTGCGTAGATACACTGAATCAGAAAATTCTTCGTGCACCTTGTGTGCTCTCTACTGTAACGGTTGTTCTTTTCATTCTGTTCTTCGTAAGTCAATTTCATTCTTTGTATACTTGCTTAAGATTCTGTTATTTTGTTAAAATAAATATCTTGCAATTATTATTTAGCGGATCCAGGAGGAAATTACTATAATGATTGTTTATTGAAGTAACTAACAAACTTCTGTATTTGGGACAAAAATCATTGAGAAAGCATTACACAACAACGGTCTTGGATTTCTTGCATTTATGGCATATTTCTGCATAAAAAAAAAACATGAATTGTACGCATTATACAGGGTGTCCCAAAAGTCGGGGAGGAGCCGGAAATGGGGGGTAGCTGAGACGATTCTGAACAACAATTTCCTTTGCAAAAATGTCGGATGGGGCTTCGTTAAGGAGATATTAAGCGAAAACCCCGACCAATCAGAGCGCGCGTAGACCGTTCGAGCGGCCGCGGTAGCGAAGGCTACGCGCTAGGCGGCAGCGGCAATGTCCTTCGATGCACGTCGAGTCACTTGTTCGCGTACAAGCGCGGCCGCCTAGCGCGTAGCCTTCGCTACCGCGGCCGCTCCAACGGTCTACGCGCGCTCTGATTGGTCGGGGTTTTCTCTTAATATCTCCTTAACGAAGCCCCATCCGACATTTTTGCAAAGGAAATTGTTGTTCAGAATCGTCTCAGCTACCCCCCATTTCCGGCTCCTCCCCGACTTTTGGGACACCCTGTATATTTAATAAATTTATTAATATTTCATTTTGCGTGTAAATGCGTGTAAAGCGTTTTCAAAAAAGAGCTTTAAAATTTTATTTTTTAATATCTATATATTATAGAATGAATATAGGTAACGTATCAAAAAATTGGATATATTTCATACCATTTATGTTACGCTAACAAATGAAATTCCAAAGGTTCTTTTACAAGGTCTCCTATATTTCATAAATCAATGAAGTAACATTAACATTTAATTTTGCATGAACGCATGCATTTCAGATAGACTGAACGTAATTTTGCATATTTACATACGCCGTAAACATAACAACCGTTAGACCAGCAAGCATAATGCGTACGGGGACTTTCTTGACCGAGTGTAGCTAAGTACATGGCAAAGAGATATTTTTCTTTATGATTGATAACTGTAAACACGAACCGTCACGCCTCGGATATTTTCTGCCTTGTTGCAGATAAGGGTATCCTTGTTTCAGTCTTTGTGTATCCAAGCAGACTCGATTAAATCTCGTACTTTTAACAAGATAAGGAGATCTGTTCGCTATTACAAGAATTCGAAGGAAAAATTATAAGTGGCAACCGTGTAATATTCCAACCAATTAAACGCAATTGTTGGACTTTTCAGAGCGTAACATGTAATCGTGACCTCGGAGACACGCCATGAACGATTAAAGATTAATCAATTCATTTCCATAATATAAGTATTAATTTTTGTCAGTCCATATTTAAGATATTGACAGATAGAAGTATTAAAAATCGCGAAGAAGTATCATAAGTATAATAGTAGAAGTATAACGAGCACAATAAGTATATAAGTATAAGAAGTATTCATAATCAATTTTTCCAATTATATGATGCGATGCTGTGTCATTACAGCTTGATTAGTTGCATGACAAAAATGTCAGTCTGAATTTTAATTAATTTCAAACAAAATAAATAAATATATACGTAACACATATTGGACTCAAGTTAAAAAATTTTGTACATTTCATCATAATCTATATATTAT